AAAAATTGAAGGTGAATAATAAAAGGGGAAGAAAGGAACAACAGATATTTAAAACATCTAAACAAAAAGTAATTAAATGCCAGGAATAAGACAACACCTCTCAATAACAACCTTAAACATAAATGGATTAAACTTTCCACTCAAAAGACACAGACTGACAAACTGGATGAAAAAAACCAGACCCAACTATATGCTATCTTCAAGAGACTCACCTCACCTGTAAAGAAGCAGACTAATAGTGAAGGGATGGAAAAAGATAGCCCACACAAATGGAAACCAAAACTGAGCAGGAGTAGCTACTCTTATATTGGATAAAACAGACTTTAAACCAAAAATCATAAAAAGAGACAAAGAAGGCCACTATATACAGATGAAGGGATCTATCCAGCAAGAAGTCACAACAATCATAAATGTATATGCACCCAACATCAGAGTACTCATATATATAAAGCAAACACTATTAGAACTAAAGAAAGAGACCAAAACATAATAAAAGTGAGGGACCTGAACACCCTTCTCAGCACTGTACAGACTAATCATCCAGGCAACAAATCAACAGAAAAACACAGGAATTAAACCACAGTTCAGACTAATTGGATCTAACAGATATCTACAGAACATTTCATCCAACAACTACAGAATATACATTCCTTTCATGACCACATGGAATATTCTCCAGGATAGACCACGTTAGGTCACAAATCAAGTCTCAGCAAATTTAATAAAAACTGAAATCACCTCACATATCTTTTCAGACCACAACAGATTAAAACTAGAAATTAATAACAGGAGAACAAAACCAACTGGTAAAACACAAATGCAAATACAAGGACTCTATACAAATACATGGAAATTAAACAACAGGCTCCTGAATGACCTATGGGTCCAAGAAGAAATTATCAGCACCACACTCTACCGAGTGAGCCACTGGCCGGCCCTCCAAGAAGAAATTAAACAAATCAAAAAATTTCTTGAAACCAGTGAAAATAAAGACATATGATATCGAAACCTATGGGATACTGCAAAAGCAATACTAAGAGAGAAATTTATCGCAATGAATACTTACATCAAAAGAATAGGAAGATTTCAAATAAACAACCTAATGCTACACCTCAAAGAACTAGAAAACAAGAACAATCCAATCCCAAACTATGCAGACAGAAACTATTAAGATCAGAGCAGAACTAAATGACACAGAGACCCCAAAAATGATACAAAAGATCAATGAAACAAAAAGTTGGCATTTTGAGAAAATAGCCAAAATAACTTGGCTAACAAAAAAAATAAAGACCCAAATAACAAAAAAAATCAAAAATGAAAAAGGAGACATTACAACCAATACCACAGAAATACAAAGAATCATTAGAGACTATTACAAACAACTACATATCAACAATTTTGAAAACCTGGACGAAATGGGTAAGTTTCTGAATGCATACAAACTAACAAGACTGAACTAAGAAGAAATAGAAAACCTGAACAGACCAGCAACAAGTGACAAGATTGAATTAGTAATCAGCAGTCTCCCAACAAAGAAAAGCCCAGGACCAGATGGTTTTACTGCTGAATTCTACCAAACCTTTAAAGAGGAAATAATACCAATTCTCTTCAAACTATTCCAAAAAATTGAAACAGAGGCCACTCTCCCAAACTCATTCTATGAGGCCAGCATCACCTTGACACCAAAACAAGACAAAGATACAACAAAAAAAGAAAACTATAGGCCAATATCTCTGATGAACACAAATACAAAAATCCTCAAAAAAAAAAAAAAAAAAAAAAAATACCAGCAATCAGAATACAGCAGTACATCGAAAAAATTATAGACCACAGTCTAGTGAGATTCATCCCAGGGATGCAAGGATGGTTCAACATACACAAGTCAATAAATGTGATACACCACATCAATAAAATCAAGGACAAAAGCCATATGATTATCTCAACAGATGCAGAAAAAACATTCAACAAAATTCAACACCCTTCATGATAAAGGTTCTCAGCAAATTAGGTACAGAAGGAAATTATCTTAACGCTTATTGTTAAAAGCCATATACGACAAACCCACTGTCAATATTATCCTGAAAGCTTTTCCCTTAAGAACAGAAACAAGACAAAGATGCCCACTCTCACCACTCCTATTTGACATAGTACTGGGAGTACTAGCCAAAACAATCAGGCAAGAGAAAGAAATAAAGGGCATCTGGATTGGAAAAGATGAAGTCAAACAGTTTGCAGATGACATGATCCTATTATTGAAAAACATAAAGCTCTACCAAAAACTCTAAAAGCTGATTAACAATTTCAGTAATATTGCAGGATACAAAATCAATGCCCCAAATCAGTAAATTTATATTCTCTAGTAACGAACTACTGGAAAAAGTAATCAAGAAAGCAAGCCCATTTACAATAGTCACTAAAAAAATAAAATTCCTAGGAACCAATTTAAACCAAAGAGGTGAAAGGTCTGTACAGTAAGAACTACAAATCACTAATGAAAGAAATTAAAGAAGACACAAAAATGGGGAAAGACATTCCATGCTCTTGGATTGAAAAAATCAACATTGTGAAAATGTCCATACTACCCAAAGTGATCTACAGATTCAATGCAATCCCCATCAAAATACCAATGACATTCTTCACAGAAATAGAAAAAACAATCCTAACATTCATTTAGAACAAAAGACCCTGAATAGCCAAAGCAATCCTGAGGGGGGGATAAAAAAAAGCTGGATGTGTAATACCATCTGACTTCAAATTATACCATAAAGCTACAGTAATCAAAACAACATTGTATTGGCCTAAAAATAGACACCCGGACCAATGGAACAGAACAAAGAACCCAGAAATCAACCCACATACTTACGGCCAATTGATCTTTGACAAAGGCAACAAGAACATATACTGGGGAAAAGACTGCCTCTTTAATAAATGGTGCTGGGAAAACTGGATGTCCATACGCAGAAGAATGAACCTAGACTTGCTCCTCTCACCATATACCAAAATCAACTCAAAATGAATTAAAGATTTAAGTGTAAAACCTGAAACTGTAAAACTACTAGGGGAAAATATAGGGGAAACACTTCAGGAAGTTGGACTGGGCAAAGACTTTATGAACAAGAGCCCAAAAGCACAAGCAACAAAAGAAAAAATATAAATGGGATTATATCAAGCTAAAAATCTTCTGCACAGCAAAGGAAACAATCAACAGAGTCAAATGACAACATACAGAATGGGAGAAAATATTTGCAAACTATACATTCGACAAAAGATTAATATCCAGAATATATAAAGAACTCAAAACAGCTACCTATTAAAAAAAAAAACAAATAGCCCAATTAAGAAATGGGCAAAGGAGTTGAACAGACATTTCTCAAAAGAAGACATAGAAATGGCCAACAGGTACTTGAATAAAATACTCAACATCACTAATCTAAAAAAAAAAAAAAAACAAATAGCCCAATTAAGAAATGGGCAAAGGAGTTGAACAGACATTTCTCAAAAGAAGACATAGAAATGGCCAACAGGTACTTGAATAAAATACTCAACATCACTAATCATCAGGGAAATGCAAGTTAAAACCACAATGAGACATCATCTCATCCTAGTTAAACTGGCTGTAATAAAAATGACTGAGAATAACAAATGCTGGTGAGAATGTGGAGAAAAGGGAACTATCCTACACTGTTGGTGGGACTGAAAATTAGTACAGCCACTATGGAAAACAGTAGGGAGGTTTCTCAAACAACTACAGATAGATCTACCATACAATCCAGCAATCCCACTTCCAGGTATATATCCAAAGGAATGGAAATCTTCGTGTTGAAGGGATACATGCACTTCACATTCATCACAGCTCTGTTTATAATAGCCAAGATATGGAACCAACCTAACTGTCCATCGATGGATGACTGGAGAAGGTATGTAATATATATTCACAATGGAATACTACTCAGCCATAAAGAAGAATGAAATTCTGCAGTAACATGGATGAACTTGGAGAAAATTATGTTAAATGAAATAAGCCAGGCACAGAGGGAAAAATATCACATCCTTACTCATAAGTGGGAGCTAAGAGAGTAAGAAGGAAGGAAAGACCATAGTGGTGTGCTGGACTTGCAGAGAGAGGGAACAGACCTAGGGTTGCTGGGGTGTGCATGGGGGAGGGAGGCTGGGGAGAGGTTGGCGGAGGACACGGTGAATAACTGCAATGTGAGGTGGTGGGCATGCTGATAGTATTGATCTGATCATCTTGGGCACAGGTGCTAATAGTCAGCTCTGAATGACCATGTATTCATGTTCAGCCTATGAATATGTATAACCAATATAAATAAATAAGCAAATACTTCTACAAAAAAAAAAAAAAAGGAAAAGTGAAACTTTAATATCTGCCATTATAGAACTTCTGGAGGTATAAAAGATGAAGCTTGAGACCTGATACATAGTAAGTGCTCAACAAATGATATTGCTATTAAAATTGTTTATCCATATTGCTGGCTCTGGTTCAGCAAGTCAAGAACTTTGTACACAAACGTGCAGGTGCACACAAGCCTTTGAAACTTTTCCCCTTCCAGCTACTTTAAAAGACCCGGTAATCTTTACTCTCTGTCTTACATATGAAGCACTAAGGTCTACAATCAGATGTTCCTCAAATAATAAAACCCTCAATTTAGTCATATCATGCCCCAACTCTTACAATTTATTGATATAATTTTAATTTCAGAGGTCTGCATTCTGAGAGAAATCTTAAAAGAATTTATCCTAACATTAAATCACAAACTTATAAACGAATGTGTACCATAATACTCTTACCTTCTACAACTGAATGTATACGATAATACTCTAACCTTATAAATGCAGGAAATGGCTAACAAAAAGATACAGTTTAAAAGCAAAAAACAACATGGCGTAGGAACGTATTGTTCCTTAGACACTTCTTTGGATACATAAAGCAAATATTTGGACCAAGCCAAGGAGGAAAAATAAGGGTAGGTTCACCCCACCTGAGTGAATCCAAGTTTGATTCGTCTTTGTTTGAAGGTCTTGGCAAACTGCTCAAGCTCCTCAAGGTCACTGGGCTCCTCCAAGCTGGGAGTATCAATTCGCTTTGGTGTTGACTGGCTCTGTGGAAGTGTCTGAATTGGGGTTGCTGCTATTGTGCGTGTTGGGGTTGCTGGCTGTTGAAGAAGGAGCAGTAAGAACAAATATATGAAAAGATATTTAAGTTTACAACTGGAATGTACTGCACGTAAACAACTTTAAGGAAACAGCTATATTCACAGAGAGTGATGAAGACCATGTGACACAACAGAAGGTGAAACATAACGTTCAGTGAGAAAAGCAGACTGTGAAATTATATATATTATGATTTACAATTAAGGTTAAGCATGTAAAAGTCTATGGAAAAAAACCTGAATACACTAAAATGAAATCAATTATACCTGGGTTTTCAAATTGTCTGAATACTTCTATCTCATGCCTTTTAATAAGTTACTCTTTAGTTTAAAAAATCTATTTCATAAATATGCTACTTAGACTGTCAAAACAGCAAGGACCATATCTGTCTTGTTTATCACTATCGTATCTCCAACATGTCACAGACTACTATAAAAATAATGTTACAGGATTATCAAGACTATTTTAAGGGAGAAAAGTAAATCGCTTGTAATGTTAATAACTTATAATAAGCTTCATTTTTGTGTATTTGTTCAAGTTTTTTCCCACAGATTTACATTTTTAAACCTTAACTGTAATTATGGTTTACGTAATTTTACACTCTACTTTTCTCATTTACCGTTCATTATGCTTTAACTTTTCTCTATAGTGTTTCTGTTTCATAAACTATCCTTTTCAAAGGCTGGCTGAAGCAATATTATCATAATTTATTTAACCATTTCTTAATTGCTGCATGCTTTTCCATTTGTTTTCACTAGCACAGATAATACCACAACGAAAAATCCTGTGCATACAGTTATTTTTACCACCTATATAATTTGTTCTTTCAGATAAATTCACAAGGAACTTTTGGGTAACTGGATAAACAATTTCATGGATTTTCATACACATCGCAGTGTTGGTTCCCACTATACAAAGCTAAATTTCCTCCACATGATTTGTGTTAGCAGTTTTAAAACTGTTTTGCTAATTTAGGGAGTTAATGGTACTTCACTGCTGCCTTAATTTGTATCTCTCTTATTACTCAAAGTCAATATTTTTTCATGTGTCAATTCTTTTTGGGGGGGGGGGTGGCTGGTCAGTAAAGGGATCTGTCATATGTCAGTTTTTATCTATTTCCTTAGATATGAATTGGATTTATGTCCTTAATCCATTTATATACTAGTCATATCCTTATTCTCATCCTTATCCTTAAAGAGCTCATCAAACATTACAGATTAAGCCTCTGTCTGTCATACTAATGCAAATATTTTTCTAATATCCTTTTTTCCTTTTGTTTTTCAGTGTACATAAGCTTTACATTATCATTTGGATGAAATTTTTTTCTAATATCTTCTCTTGGTTCAAATCTGAGAATGCTTACGTATTTCTAATTCTGATAAAATTCCTTTTAATAATCTGTTAACGACTTCTATGTACTTGAAATATTTAATTATTTAAATCCATCTAAAGTTTATCTGGGGATAAAAGGGTATAGTCCTTTTTTTTTTTAAAGAAAATATTAAATTTCCTTATTACACACTTATCTCTCTCTCTCTCTCTCTCTCTCTCTCTCACACACACACACACACACACACACACACACACACACACACAAGGCGACTCTGTTCTACGCAGAAGCCCTGAGTAGAACACACCCTTTTGAGTATTCACTATTGGCAGATGCTGCCCTGACTTGGCATCATAATTGCTCAGTTGACCCCTCCTGTGAACAGGAGCCTGGGTGAGACATTATAGACCAGGATTACAGATAAAGTCTGTGGCTGTGAATTTTCCTTCCTGTAATTTAGATGCGTCATGTACCCCGGCCTTGACCTCATTAGTCAAGGCTCTCTCCAAGTGAAAACTAACTGGCCCAAAAGACTAAAATAGGCATTACACAGGCAACAATTGGAGTAAGTTTCTATCATTCTGTTTCAAAGACAACAAAGTTCATCTCTGTGACGTGTTGACACTGAGTAATTTTTAACCTGACCATTTTGGAGGAGCCAAAACCATATCTTCTTCGGTGAAATATCTTCAACCATATTAGAATCCTATGTGGCTGTGCATGTCCCACAGTGAAACCGGTTGATACGCAGAGGTGAGTCTCAACTATCAGACTATTTACTTCACCTCCAGGATTGAAGTGGTCGCATTCTCAAATAATAAAGGACAAAAAATAGCATGGGTACCTTTAGGTGGGGTGCTTACAGATAAGTTACCCCAACTCCAGAAACCTCAGGCTGGACTGGGCCAGATCTAAAAATGGTAGAGTAGAATTCAGTGAGCAGGAGTCAGGATGAAGCTACAACAGCCCTGCCACTGTGTGCAAAGCATATAGGCCAGGAAAGAGTCTCTACTATAGGCTTTTCTCAAAACCCCAACCTTACTTTTGTATTCACCATATTCACAAATTCACCATTTAAAAGTATGCAGTTTGATATGTTTTAGCAACTGTATATAGTCATATAACTACTATTACAATTAAGATACAGAACATTTTCATCACCCCCAAATGTTCCCTTCTGCCTTCTTTGGTTAATCCCCACCAATAGCCCCCAGTGCCTGGCAACCACTGATATGATTTCTGTACCTACAGTTTTGTCTTTTCTAAAATGCCATGAAAACTGAATCATACATTATGTAGTCTTTCATGTCTGGCTCCTTTCACTTAGCATAATGCTTTTGAAATTCATGCATATATCAGAAGTAGATTTCTTTTTATTGCTGAGTAGCATTCCATCATATGGATATACCAGAGTTTATGCTATCTATTCACCAGCTGAAGGACAGTTAGATTGTTTCCAGTCTGGCGTGATTATGAATAAAACTGTTACTAACATTCACATATAGGTCTTTGTACGGACATACACTTTTCTTTCAAGGAGCAGAATTGCTGGGTCATAAGGTACATGTATATTTAACTTTAATTGCCAAAATGTGTGTGACATTGTGCAACATTACTGGCAATGTATGAGAACTCTAGTTGGCTTTATTCTCTTGCCAGCATTTGGTCTTGTCATAGCCTTTTTAATTTTGCCCATTTTAGAGGATGCAGTGATATTTCATTTGCATTTTCCTGATGACTAATGCTTTTGTGCATCTTTTCACATGCTTACTCGGCATTCACATATCTTCTTTGGTGAAATATCTTCAAATTTTTTGCCCCCACTCCCTTAAATCAGGTTGTCTTATTATTGAGTTGTATGAGTTCTTTATATATTTTAGATACAAATCTTTTTATCAGATATTAGAATATTTTCTCCTTATCTTTGGTTTTTCTTTTCATTCTCTTAAGAGAAACTTTTAATTTTTATGAAATTAAATTTGTCAAATTTTTCTTTTATGGCTAGTGTATTTTTAGTTCTATTTTAAGAAATCCTTGCCTCACCTGAGGACACAAAGATTTTTCCCTAAGTTTTCTTCTAAAAGTGTAGTTCTATAACCCATTTCAAATTAATCTTTGTATATGGTGTGAAATAAGGGTCAAGTTTCTTTTTTTATTTGGCCTACAGATAGCCAATTGTTTCAGCACCATTTGTTGAGAAGACTTTCCTATTACCACTGAAATCCTTTGGCACATCTGGAAAATCAGGTGGCCATACATGTGTGGGTCTACTGGACCTTCCATTCTGTTCCACTGATCTATTATTTCTATCTATATGCCAGTATCACACTGTCTTCGTTACTGTAGCTTTATAATAATTCTTGACATCAGGTAGTGCTTCAACTTTACTTTTCAAAACTGTTTGGTTATTCTGTCCTCTACAATTCCATATAAATGTTAGAAACAGCATGCAAATTTCTACAAAAAAAAGCCTGCTGGGTATTGATTGAGATTGTGTGGAATCTAGATATCAATTTGGAGAGAACTGGCTAACAACCTAAGTCTTCTGATTCATGAATGCATTGTATCTCTCTATCTTATAGGTTTTCTTTAATTTCACTCTGCAATATTTTAATGTTTTCAATGTATTGGTTTTACAAATATTTTGTCAAATTTATCCCTAAGTATTGTAAATATTTTTTTCCTTAATTTCAATTTTCAAATGATCATTGCTAGTATACAGAACTATATATGATTTTTGTATACTGACTTTGTATCCTACATATTCACTAAACTCACTCATTCTAGCAGCTTTTTTGGGTAGATTCCTTAGGATTTTCTACATAGACAATCATGTTGTCTACCAATTAGCATAGTTTTACTTCTTCCTTTCTCATCTACATGTCCTTCATTTCTTTTTCTTGTCATATTGCATTGCTAGGACTTTCAGTACGATGCTGAATAAAAGTGGTAAAAGTGGTCCTCTTGCCTTGTTCTTGATCTTAGGGGGGAAAGTATTCAGTCTTTCCTCATTGTTTTTTTGTTTGTTTGTTTTTGTACGATGCTGAATAAAAGTGGTAAAAGTGGTCCTCTTGCCTTGTTCTTGATCTTAGGGGGGGAAAGTATTCAGTCTTTCCTCATTGTTTTTTTGTTTGTTTGTTTTTGTTTTTTTTTACCAGCTTAAGAAAATTATCTTCTATTCCTAGTTTGCAAGAATTCTTATCATAAATGAATGTTGAATTCTGTCAAATTTAGTAATGTGTTAGTATTAAATGATAACTTCCATACTGTAGACAAAGAGAGTCAGAGCTGGAAGAGGACTCAGGATCAGCCAGTTCAGTCACCTAATTTATAGATGAGAAGCCTGAGGTCCAGAAGATGAAATGACATGCTTGAGATCACATCTAGATAAGAAGCAGAAGTAAGTCTATAACCTAAACCACTAGATGCCTGTGTTTTTTATATGGTTATTGTGGTTATATGGTATAGTGGAAATGAGCTAAAGTGACATCTAAGCACTCAGAGGAAAGAAAATGTAGAGATCAGAACTTCTTTCCAGATTCTGAGGAAGGGCAAAGGGAATGATGAATTTTAACTGAGGCACTAGGTTTACAGTTCAAGTGGTAATATTTACTACCAAATATGAGGTGGGTGTGTGGGAGCAGGGGTGTCAAATAGCCACTATTCATTTTACTCATTCACTGCTAACACAATTTACTCTTTAGGAATATTTAAGAAAACAGGGACTCTCTGAAGATTTTCAAAGACTACATCAATTTGGTAGCATTGCTTTATCAAGCTGATAAGCCCACCTTTAAACTTCTGGTCAGTTTTTGAAGATTGTTTGCATTTTTCTTATTAGGGTTTTTGGTTTTGTTTTTAATTAAACAAAGGCCAAACATCTGTCAAAACAATAAAGTAGGAATAAGCAACTTCTGTGGAAAACTGACCTGGGAGGTGAGCGTGATGCTTGGCTGCGACTGTAGGAGGTTGGCTTGGCTTTGCTGAGGTAGTTGTGTTAGAAGATTTTGCGCTTGCAGGAGACCTACAAAACACAAACATGTTATGCCAGAAACATTAAAGATTACTTTGAACACATGGCAAAAGAAAGAAAGGAACGTGAACTGAAAATTTCCAAGAGATCTCCTGACAGTCTTATTGGTCTTAAAACTTTTGTCTTATTTGTCTAAAACTGAATCTTGTTAAATACAGCTTGGGCAAGAAGATATGGAACATTAAATCAAAACTGACACATCTTTAGTGTAATCAAAATAAGTTCTCTGATAGGCCAATTCTTTATTTTAGTAAGGAGTGGATGAAAATAAAGAACCATTCTAAATGAAAGCAGCTGGAAATTCCCAAAAGAGCTCAACTTCTTAACCTAGAATCCATTAGAAACCGCCGTGTATACGTTGGACCAGAGAATTGTCTATTTCATGAAAAGAGCAGGCTATCCTTTAAGTGGAAAGAGATGTTGTTTTCAAGTTCTCTCTATCCAACATTTGCCTTCTGATGATAATAAAATTGAAATATAACATATTCTATCTGCATTAACAATGACTGTCTTAGTTTAAAAATGATTGATAAGTAAAGCCAGCAATACTTCGTGATGATAAATGACACTCAAAGTAGAAATGTGACCCCTCAACGTGTGTGTAGTAGATGCCAATTCAATTACTTGAGTTTATGGCTTTTCATTTTCAGAACCTTATGTGAGAACCAACCCATAATATCTGTATTTAAGAGTTTAATATATAGTACCTAATTTCAAATTTAATGCTGCTGCTAAAAGACTAAATATAGAATTATTTGTGTTGAGATAAAAGCAATGGTGGAAATTATCCAACACAGCACACCAAACAAGAGGGATTCTATCATTTTTTAAAAATAGGTGATAAGATTATTTGGGGCAATAGATATCTTCCTAATTATGATTTCCTTAGGCTACTAAATTTAGATACACTGAATGTCGGAATAAGCAGGACAGTGGACAACTAAACCTGCCACATATTAGCCACCGTTTATAATTTGTCTGTATGTAATTAAGCACTGCCTGAATTTAAGCTATTAAAATATTTATTTCACAATGCAGAACACAAATAAAATAAATACATTATGTAAGTTTGGATTTCTCTACAGAACCATGAGTTTTGTTAATATGGGGCAAAGAAATATATTTTGAAGCAAGGATGATTAAATGAAATAAAGCTGAGTAAATATTACCGTAAACATCTCTAAAAAGGCAGATTTAGAAAAACCAAATTATGGAAGTTTAAATGACCACCCTCCTTCCCCAAGTGTCTCCCTGTAGTTCAATCCCCACAGAGTAGTTAGGGTGATATTTTTGATCATATCATTTTCCAATTAAAATGCTCCAATGGCCCTACATTACAGTTAGTACAAAATCTGTGCAGACCTAGGAAATCTGGCCCTGTCTAATTCTCATCTCTCTTCGCCTACCACTTTCACTCACTGAACTCCAGGCTACTTTGGTCATTCTTTTCCCGGATTAGGTCAATCTTGTTCCCATTTCAGGTGCGTTGCATTCCTTTGCCTACCAGATGATTCACTGAGATTTTTTTTTTTTTTTTTTAATAAAGATGACCGGTAAGGGGATCTTAACCCTTGACTTGGTGTTGTCAGCACCACGCTCTCCCAAGTGAGCCACGGGCCGACCCCTTCACTGAGATTCTAAGTGTGGCAGCCTCCCCCTCATCATTTGCTCTCAATTCAAATGTTGCTTCTTCAGAGAGGACTTTCCAGACTATATGCCCATTCTTCCACATGTTAATCCTTACCAGATTACTCTGATCTGCTGTCTTCCTAGTACTTATTGCTATCTAAACCCTTTGTTTACATGTTTACTATTTGACTTCTTCTAAGGAAGGCAGGGATTTTATCCTGTTCAAAATTATATTTGCAACACTTAGAGCACTGTATGACATTTAGCAGGTACTCAAAAAATTAAGTGAATTGACTAAAATTTCAAATTATATAAGTTTGAAAATACCTGAAGGGTAGTCCAGAGAAAATAAAACTATATTTTATGTCAATGATTAAAACGATTCTATTAAATAAAATTATTTTGAAAAGGCTAAAGACTCAAGAACATTCAAAAATAATAAAAAATGAAACAGAAGAGAGCAGAAAGTTCAGAAATTAGGTTCCATTATTAAACATAGGGTATTTCAACACATGAGTTTCTTTAAAGTTTAGCAATGAAAATTAGACTTTTATTAATCTGTAAGTAACAAAAGCATATATGTTAAAAAATGATTCCTATTGAATCAGAAATTATAATTCCAAATAATTAATTTTAGTTCCTAGTAGCGTATATTATGAACAAACTCAAACCTTAGGTCTATTTCCTCAAACAATTGTTCCTAGCCTTTTGGCTAAGATCAAGTGTATTTCACCAAAGAAGGTCAACAGAAAATTTTGAAAGGACCCATAAAGGTTTAGAACTTCCTTAAGAACCAATCTTTGCCATTTCCGCCACCCCACCACCCATCAAACAACAAAAAAACCAAACAAACAAAAACCAAATAAACAACAGTTTTTTAACCAAGAACATTTCTTTTATTATTTTCAGAATAAATGGTCAATAGAAAGAGAATAAAATCTTTTATAAATTATGCTCAAGTTCAGAAATCTATCAATAAGAATTTTCCCAAGAAAATGCTAGAAAAATAATTCTGATAACTCTGGGAAAATGACTTAGATTTCACTTGCTAAAAATTAAATTCCAGACAGTTAAGAGTTATATAATCCTGGCAACACTGCCGAAAAATATGAACTATTCTTCAAAAGTTTTAGATTAGTAAGTGAAAAGCAAGGGAAAACAGAACTCAAGAAATTGATATGGAAGGCTAATCTCATGGTGGAAACATTAATTATTAAAATTCCAATAGATCAAATCTTTGTCCCTCACCACAAAGTTAAAAGAATAGCTACTTAGATTTTCAGCTTCTGTGATGCTAATAATTACAATAAATTCCACTCCTGGAAATGTTTTTAAAATGCTAATATTTCCACTGTTCTGATCCTTTACACTGTTGAATAACCTTAGAAAAACTGAATCTGAGTTACATACTATTAACTAATGGCTACAACTCAGCAGCAGTGGTAGAAACTAATTCTAGATTACTTTCGAGGTTTTTTTTTTAAACTATATAAAGGAACAAACTGTGTTTTCATTCTGTTACACTACCTACCATTTGTTGACTGATGATGATGATACTGATATCATGATGTCATAATGATAACAGCAGCAAAGATTTAAAGAGGTTATTGTATATAAGGCACCTTTTATAAAGGTGCTTTATATGTATTTACTCACCGAATCCTTATAACTCTTTGAGGTACATACTAAAACTATCCTCATATTACACGAGGAAACTGAGGTACAGAA